CTTGGGGGCTCAGAATTCGCCATTTGATGCGTTTACTTCGCACTCATCGAATACGACGGTAACCATATTCTAAACAGAACCTCTTTCTCTCACCCTAACGCGACCTGTTATCATCCGTTAATATTATATACATCCAAAGTATGCGGAACTTCGGATGTTCCACGATACTGAGCAGCAGATATCAATTCTTCGCCCCAATAACTGTATATGCCCGTTTTATAACCTATTCAAACACACATCCGAGCGAAACGTTTTCACTCGGAAATATATGTGCCTATATGGCCGTAAACGAATGAAGCTGCCACAACAAAGCAACGGAAATTAATTTCGATAATACCGAAATTAGGGGTCACTTCGGTGTCAATGTCAAAAATTAAAAGCTCATAAACTGCCAAAGGTGTACTTCGTTTAAATTTTGTAGCGATGTGACCTTCACTTTGACCAGCGCAAAGTAGAAAAGAACAGCACTAGGCCAGAAAAGGAAGGAGACAAGTCTTAACCGGTGAGGAGCGTATAATCCGTACAGTACTGCACGGAAAAATTGACCATTTTATCCACTACAATTGCATTGCTCAAATGTGCTGTTATTGGTAGCGTTTACTACTGAAAATATCAACGAGATGTTTATTTATATTTGAAGACATGTTAAAGGCTTTAACGCTTGTTTTCGACTCGCACTACTATTCATGATTGAACAAAACTTTTGGCAGGTACTGTATGAAAAAGTATGTTTAATGAACAAGATTCGTGCGTATAATGAGCTTTTTTCTCCTTACCTATAATTTTTCCAGCGCGCATCCAAGACATTGGAAGGGGCACATCGCTAGAGAAAGTAAATGAAGTATAACAGTATTGAAAGAAATCAAAACTTTAAGTTGCACTTTTAGGAGCTAAGTAAGTGCATTCATCCAGTCAGACGTAAAAAATACATGACAACAATTTAAACAAAAATTGTGAAAAATTTTAAATCATTTAAATGATCAGGGCGACTTATAAACTTACAGCCACCTTTAAACTCATAAATAACGTGTAATTATATCATATATCTGCGTGCTCTCTATTTTTCATCTTATTATTTCAATTAGTCGCTAAACCCATGGATTTTTTATAATTGATGATGTGCTAGCTTCACGTAAATCTTGGAAGTTAGAACAAAAATCAATAAATACTGAATATCTTTTTGACAGTTTATGAGGCCTTACTTTTTGAACCTTGACACCAAATTATCTTCTAAAAGACCCCTAATTTCGACATTTTTGAAATTCATTTCGGCCACTTTATTGTACCTGACGGCCATGAAATATTTTGGTGCTATGTTTAAACGTAATACATACAAGTAGATACAGAATACAGACTGCCCCTACCCAAAAAAAAAAGGAAAACGTGTTTTTGTAATAATTTGTTATTTGTTGGCTAAATAGACCAGTTTTGCTTCAAGAGCAGGATTGTGCTTCGCATAATAGTAACGTACTAAAGATTTTTTTCAGATTTTTTATTCATTTTAATTCCAGTAAAAAAATTAATTTTTTCATTTATTTTTAAAGTTATTATGAAATGTCTCAGACGGTGTCAACTTTAATAGAAAAACCTATATACGAAATGAATTTCGTTTTAAATTAAATTTAGACTAATATTCATATTGTACGTGTAAGCATGTGTGTATGTATTATGTTCGTGTGTTCTCTTGGCACCCGGAACGAAAGTGTCATCGTTATTGTGCTCCCTGAACAAATCCCATATGCAAACTTTGCGGCAGGATTGGCATCACCATTCTAATCGATACCTTTGATACCCCCTGCAGCTCTGCTTCCTTCTTATCTGAATCGAACAGCTGCCTCACGTACCATTTCCGAATGTTTTAGTCGATATGCAAAATGTTGAGCAAATTTGAGTTTATTATTATGCATTTTATTATGGTTCACTGACTATAGACCCTTTTTTTATACCGTCAAAACGACTGTACCTATAATAAATAAAAAGGAAAAACCTAACGGTTCATAAAATAATTGCTTACATCGTCGCTATTCTCCGGAATTTGGAGTATCATTTTACTAAATTTTATTTACTTTCCAAAAGATTTTATAAAACTGGCGACTTCAAACCTTCAATTTTAATAATAATTATATTTGTATTTATTATATTTTATGAGAAGTCAACATTATAAATATTTTGTGCGCGCTGCTGCAATAAGCATTTGGCCATTACATATTAAAAACTGAGCGACCCACATGAAGATGCAGGTACTGAAACTATACAAAACGTACACATATTCACAACCAGCTCGGTTCTCTTCTTCTGCCACTGATTTTGACTTATGTATCCTTGCTGCATCCTCCACATTCAATTTCGGTACGGGCGCCACCAAAACAAAAAACTCTAGAACGGCAGGCAACGGGAAGATACGCCAGTCATCAGAGAAACCAAAAAAAGGTCGCATTAAATTTAAATTGCTACGTTTTCATGTGTCAATAAAAGAATTTCGGTACTCGTTTTACACCACCGTGAGGTAGGGTACGTGGTGCATCTTTTATGTGGTTTCTCCTCTGGAAGCCTCAACCGCCGCAATGCTTCTAATATATCTTTCTAAGTTTAGAGATCTAATTCATCAAGTTCTAAACTCGTAGAAGTATTTCATTAGTTTCAACAATTCCTACGTAAGCATTTTCGTTGTGAATAATCATACAAGATTTTCCGCTATAATAATTAATAATTGAGTACCGAAGACCATGCTTCTCCTAGCTGCATACCTTCAGCACCCTTTTTTGCATTTTCAGAATATAGTTTTAAAATGTGTTTGTGGAGCGGCTGTTTTGGTGGTGATGATTAAGGTAAGCAGACCGTGTTTCTTCGATGCTCAAATATTTGTTACTATTGCCGCGGACAATTTTGCACAAATATTGTCAACGAAAATGCTGACAAAGAAATTATTACACAATTAAATGCCTCCATTACTGAAGAAACTAAATGAAATCTACCAGCGGACGAAAGTTCAGAACCTGATAATCAACCCCCAACCAACGTTCAACCTCCACCCGTTCAAAGATAAATTAGAATAACGAACACAGAAATCCTTTTTTGGCAAATGCAATATAATTGAGGAAGAAAGGAAGTGAGGGCACCACTCAACAAGCCTTCATTCTAGGGAAAATATCTTTCTTAAACGAAATTTTGCCTTGAACACTATTGATAATAATTAAGAATATATTTTCATGAAACATGTTTTTGATGTTCTCTGCCCAACATGATGCCGAGCGCAGAAATCGCTGGAGGAGGCAAATTCAAAATGGTTTCTAGGTAAAATATCCAAATTCAACTCTCCAACGACTGGCTCGAAGAGCGATAAAGCTTATCAGTCTATATATTTACTGACTTTTGCACAACTTAGGCACGCTGCAATTTTATTATCCATTCTTCACGTTTGGACTACATTGGAATGATAGTGTGACAGTGATAGACTGGGTCTCTAAGTCTTCGGGGGGGGGGGGGTTTGGTTTTTAATGGAATATTAAAAATATAAAAAGCATTTTGGACACATTTGCATCATTACAAGTACTTCATTGTCAGTCATTGCATGTATATTTTTCCTTTTTGCAAAATGTACACTAATAAATCAATGGATAAATCTAAGGCGACAGGGATTAAAGGTATTTTGGGGACATCCTAACTGCGGACCAAATGTAGCAGGTAAAAGAGTAATTAAGAATGTCTTTTTTATCGCGACCTAAACCCAAACTCCCAGGGGTCTGAAATCATTAATGCTTGTCGTGCACATATATAATAAGAAATAAACTTTTATATCATAATTTATCGTAAAATTTTTGAATCAGTGAGTGCAGCGGCAACTATTTTCTAAATTTAATAAGTTAAGTATTAATACTAACAAATGCAAAAATAACTTGATAATTTTATTTTTCGGAAATGTAACTTTTCCATGTTGAATATGACTTAAAAATACCGAAGAAAACATTTTTACCGCCCCCACACTTGCGCCACCCGGGATCCATGGTCCTCTTTACCTCCCCCACGCTCCGAAACTGCCTACTCCAATTTTTTGGTTTAATTTTCCTATCCAATGGCAATCATTGATTAATTAAATACTTTACCAAAGCCTGAATCATTTAATTTTTTAATGGTGAATTATTAATCGTAAAAGATTAAGCAAGTAATGTATTAAGTAAATATTTTTTCGTTATAATTTCCAAAGCATCATCATCATAAGGTCGTCAGTCCTAAGACTGATTGGACACGCACCTCCTATCCTGAGCTAATCTTCTCATTTCCCTAAAACTAGAATATCCTACATCCTTAATTATTTGCGAACAGTAATCTAATCAAGGTCTACCTCTGCTCCTGTTAACTCCTATTTCTGCGTCTAACATGTCTTTCACTAGCCCTTCATGCCTGAGAAGGTGTCCTAAGAACCCATCTCACCTATTTCTTATTAACTTCCGCAGAGTCCTCTGTTCTCCTATTCTTTCTAATACCTCATCATTTCTAACCTTCTCTGTGCACGGTATCCTAATCATTCGTCTGTAACAGAACATTTCGAACGCTTCTAACCTTTTCTGTTCCGTCGTGCTGACCGTCCATGTTTCGCACCCGTACAGCGCTGCGCTCCAAACACACCTTTAATAATCTTTTTCGAATTTATAAATTAACCAATCTTAACTAGAATTGTACAGAAAAGAATGAATAAAAAGGCGGAAAAACAATTAAGGGAAGATCAGTTGGGTTTAGAAGAAATAATTAATTAATTTCCAAAATACAATTTTTTTTTATATTTTTTGATGTAAAACTAGTTTAAATCTGAAATTAACTATTATTTGTGTACTATTGTAATTATTCTTGTTTTTATATTTACAAAACGATCAGCAATTTAACTGAACTTAAATGACATGACAATGCTCTAATTCGATGAATACAATTTTACATTGACATGGTTAAATAGTTAACCGCCAGAAAGCCATTCATAGGAATAGAAGAAGAAGAGATATGTTTTTATTACTACGTCATCTTAATTATCTGTGCTTTATATAATTTTTCTTTTCTCAGAACAATAATATGTGCATTACACATTAAAGTTTGCTGAAACTGGTGATTTGCTAATTTCAATTGTTAAATGTTTAATACCGTCCAATGCAAATAAATTTCAAATGTTTTCTTTAATAAATCTAAAACTTCACCAACATGGCTTGAAAAGGTTATATTATTAATCAAGCAATTTGGTTTCGAGCCAGATAATATAAATGCACAAATCTCTGGTTATACAAAATTCTGTGTCTATTCTAATGTGAATGTTTTATGAAAAGTGAGTTTGTTAAGGTTATTGGAGCATAATGGAGACAAATTGTAACAAAATGGAAGACTCAGATGAATTTATGGAATTATATATTCAAGACGGCGTGTTATTAAACAGTGCTCCGGCTACTTATATGAACTGCATTAACACAACAGGAACTTTGCTTATTACTGAGTATTTGAACTCCAATAAAACTAGATATATTGAATGGAAACCTAATGATGTTACTATTGATTCTGATGTACAAGATCAAGAATGGGCAGTAGTGAATACAGTGAAAGGAAGAAACAGAACTTTCAGTGGATCATTACCTCCAGAATCTTCGAATCGATCCAAATATATTAAAATAAATTTTAAGGATATTAAAAGTTTTCGAGTTGCACGTAGTAGCCATAAACTTACATTTTATGATGGCAAAAGTGACCCCATATGTACATTTACCTTTTTGCACTGTAACTGTGATTCTTTTGTTGGTTGCCTTAAATCATTTATGAGAACAGCACTTGCTAAAAGGGACAAGCATCTGTTTATTGTACTTGATGATTACCTCGATACTCCTGAAACTAATCGATTGGATAAGTCCTTTGCTGAACTGGATTTATTTCAAGAACAGCCATCTGATTTGATGTGGAGATTTGTAAAAAATTTTCAAAATAAACCTTATGAAACAACTATGGAAGCATTTTCAAAGTTAACAGATATTGGTAAGAAAAAAAGCCTATAGATATAATATAGTATTGAACTGTCTTCAAATTCTACTGCACATTTCCATACTGCCTGCACCTACTTATATCATTTCTGTTGGTTACTTTAAATCAATGTTCTGTTTTCTGCATACTTTACAGGCCGTAAAAATTATTCACCTACCAATGAACCTTCTGTCAGTGGTAATCTTGAAAATTCTATGCTTTCTGGTAGGAAAAATGTTAATTTTGCATGTATACTTTCGTAATACCTGTATATATATGTATTAAATAAACACACATTATTTTTGCTGAGAAATTGCTTGGTTTTGTTAATGATGACTAACTGTATATGCTGCACTTTACCTTAATTTAAATAAATTTCAATTGTGGCATAAATAATTAGTCTACATAATAATTTTCATCAACAATTAAAATTGAAAAAAATTGTAGTATATCGTGGTCCTGAACATAGATACATGGATGATGAAGTTAATGAGTTATTAAATCGCAGTCTAGAAGGTGTGGATTATTCTCTATCCACTCAGTATGAATATGTTCCTAAATTGCCTGAAAGAAAAGAGCCACCAAGGGGCACACCTCTTACAATAGAACAGTGGAAGACTTTGCAAGATAATGAAGGGAGAATAGAAGATGTAGAACCCATTAAAGCTATCATATTTAGAGGGGCAAGTAGTCTCTACCAATTGGAATTACTCTTTTACGTTAATTGTAAAATTCCTTCCTTAAAGGGCATCGATCCTGCTTTAAGAAAAGAAGTTTGGAAATATCTACTAGATTATTACCCTTGGAACAGTACACACGAAGAAAGGAGTAAAATAATCGAAAAAAAGAAAGCAGAATATTATACAATGAAGCGCCAGTGGAGCACAATGTCTCAAATTCAAGAGGATAACTTTTCTGATTTTCGGGAGCGAAAAAGTCTAATAGAAAAGGACGTACGACGCACAGACAGAACTTTGGATTATTTTTCGGGCGATAATAATCCTAATTTGGAAGTATTGTATGACATACTCATGACCTACGCCATGTACAATTTTGATTTGGGTTACGTCCAAGGAATGTCCGATTTGCTATCTCCTATTCTTAACTTGGAAGATAATGAAGTAGATGCTTTTTGGTGCTTTGTCGGGTTCATGAATAAAGTGGTTAGTATAAGAATTTGAATTAAATTTTATTTCAAAATGGTGCTGAATAGCTTAATTAATAGATGATTTAAACTGAATTCCGAGAATAAACCTATTGTAATTTGATATTCTCAGATAAATAAATTCAAACTATCATCTCTGCAGGGAAGCAAAGATAGTGAATTATGATATTAATTCCACAAACTACAGCTCCCATTGGATCTATTACTTTGTCATAGTTTATACATTTTGAATAGTTTCATCTACTGTAACTATTTTAAAAATAATTTTTTGTCAGAGCCTCAACTTTGACATCGACCAAGCTGGTATGAAAGAACAGCTCCAACATTTGCACACTTTGCTCGAATTTCTACAGCCGGAACTCGCCAATTATCTCGATCATCATGATTCCGGTAACATGTTTTTCTGTTTTCGCTGGGTGCTGGTATGGTTTAAACGGGAACTGAGCCAAGAAGACACAACAAGATTATGGGAAGTCCTATGGACTGGCGTGCCCTGCCACAATTTTCATCTTTTGGTCTGCATAGCCATTCTCGAAACGGAGAAAGATGCCCTCGTAGGTAACAATTACGGTTTCACCGAGATTTTAAGGCATGTAAATGACTTGTCTGGTAATTTAAACGTAGACGCGATGATTTGTCGGGCAGAAGGTATGTATTACCAAATAAGAGAAGCTGAACATTTAACAAACAACATTCGATCGATACTGGGACTTCCACTGGTAAATGGAACGACGGATACGAATGACAGCAAAGAAGCATCACCATTAACATCCACCGATGTTTCAAACGACTTACAAAGTTGCTCATTAGAAGCGATTGGTGATGAAGAAGTACAATGCGACAGAGCTATAAACTTGTCGTACTTATAAATTGTATATTTTTTTGGTACAAGCATAGTCTCTTTTCGTCATCGAAATTAAGTAAAATATTGTAATTTGAAAACGAATGCAAACCTTTTTAGGCTATTTTATACACAGGAAAAACTTCTTATCACCTTATCAGTAATGAATAGGTTAAAAAGTTAGATTTTTATTATCAATTTAAGTGTGTTATACTTATGTCAAAAGTGAGATTGCGTTGTATGTATACTATTTATCGCGTGTAATATTGTAAAAGATATAACTTAACTAGAATCTTTTGATGACAAGATTTCACAAGTAGAAGTATCTTTAGAAAATTGAAAATTAAACATTAAAAAAAGGTACTTCTTTCTAACGAATATTTTAATTTTATTTTTATTATCAGTATAAAGGAGTTCTCAATCAAAGAAATGATTATTAATTATTCGTTGCAAGTTTTATTTACGTCATAGAAGTATTTTGTACAAAAAGATAAACTAAAATTCCGTTATATTTTCATTATTTATTTTAAATATTTAAAATGAATGATAGAGTTACAGAATTACAAAAACAATTTCATGTAGTTTCAAATAGATATTGCAATTGCAATTTTCTATTGTCTTGATAATAGTTCTTTTTGTTTTTAATTGCTTAGTTTACAGCATTGTTTTCAGTATTAATAGATGTTTCTAAAAAAATTAATGAAATGATGCCAATAAATGAAAAAAATATTCTTTTTTAAATGTTTATTTAAATCTAACAGTACGAAGTATTTTTAAAACTTAAAACAATTAATATTTGTGGCAGTTTTTAAGTTTATGTATAGATGAACATATTTACTTTAAGCATTATGTATAACCTTAGTCCTGTATATGAGCCTGTAAAAATACGTCTTATAAAATTTATACTATTTTCAAATAAATATAATGCGCAACTAGTTGGCTTTTCTTTTGTAATTAATGATTTAATCTAGCTTAATGTAATATTTGATAAAATAATGTAATCTAATATTTGAAAATTTCGCCATTCTACGTTCATTAAAAAAAGGGTGCAGGACAACTAGTCACACGAGTATGCGCCCACGACTAAATATATTTTCGTGGAACTTTTCAGCGAAAAGATTCCATTAGTTTTTGCAGAAGTGCATTTCGCGAGTATCGTGTATATACAATTACATTGCTTATTTTTATTTATTTTAAGCTGTAAATAAACAATATTCTTCTTGTTTCAGCATTCCGAATAATTTGCCTATGAAGTAAAATTCCTTACGGGCCACAATAAGAATATTTTAAACTGCAGTAACTTATGTATAAAGAAAGGTAGGATTTTATGTAACCTTTTTTCTTTTTTTTTATTAATCATAAAATAAAATCGATATTCTTTTATACTTCAAACTATTCGCCTAAGGGGTTTCCTCTCAGTGTTTAGAATTATTACTATGAAAGAGGGAACTACAGCATTGTTATTCCAGAATTCTTCTTTCAACTTCATTAAATTTCAAATTAATTTCTCCCTTATGAAACAAGCTAAAAGTACCAAAATGTACTAAACTTCTTGTCAATTTAAAAAGGTTTTTATTTCTTGAAAGTTTTTTTCTACCTTTTTAATTCAGGTAAAAATACCAAAATGTACTAAACTTATTTATGGGGCATCAGTGAAAAAAATTTTATAGTTTGAAATTACTCGAATACACTTTCANGTGGCAGTTTTTAAGTTTATGTATAGATGAACATATTTACTTTAAGCATTATGTATAACCTTAGTCCTGTATATGAGCCTGTAAAAATACGTCTTATAAAATTTATACTATTTTCAAATAAATATAATGCGCAACTAGTTGGCTTTTCTTTTGTAATTAATGATTTAATCTAGCTTAATGTAATATTTGATAAAATAATGTAATCTAATATTTGAAAATTTCGCCATTCTACGTTCATTAAAAAAAGGGTGCAGGACAACTAGTCACACGAGTATGCGCCCACGACTAAATATATTTTCGTGGAACTTTTCAGCGAAAAGATTCCATTAGTTTTTGCAGAAGTGCATTTCGCGAGTATCGTGTATATACAATTACATTGCTTATTTTTATTTATTTTAAGCTGTAAATAAACAATATTCTTCTTGTTTCAGCATTCCGAATAATTTGCCTATGAAGTAAAATTCCTTACGGGCCACAATAAGAATATTTTAAACTGCAGTAACTTATGTATAAAGAAAGGTAGGATTTTATGTAACCTTTTTTCTTTTTTTTTATTAATCATAAAATAAAATCGATATTCTTTTATACTTCAAACTATTCGCCTAAGGGGTTTCCTCTCAGTGTTTAGAATTATTACTATGAAAGAGGGAACTACAGCATTGTTATTCCAGAATTCTTCTTTCAACTTCATTAAATTTCAAATTAATTTCTCCCTTATGAAACAAGCTAAAAGTACGAAAATGTACTAAACTTCTTGTCAATTTAAAAAGGTTTTTATTTCTTGAAAGTTTTTTTCTACCTTTTTAATTCAGGTAAAAATACCAAAATGTACTAAACTTATTTATGGGGCATCAGTGAAAAAAATTTTATAGTTTGAAATTACTCGAATACACTTTCAACCCCCAATTTAAAAAAGCGTCGTGTTTATTTCTTAATAAATTAATTTCTATCTTATGAAACGAAAGTGCTAAAATGTAATAAAGTAGCCGTGGGTGGACACAAACTAAAATAATGCGACTAAATTTTACTAGTGGGTATTTTAAAGTCTGATTTTTTAAATCGAGTCTTAAATAAGAAAAGGAATTCAGAACTGTTACTGCAGCCTGACGCTCAGAATACTCTGTAGTAAAGTAGGTTGCCTATATGAAAGATGAACAATTTATTAAAATTCAAATTTGGTGAAAATTAAATGAGTGCGCTGTAGTCTACTAGATAAAGAAGGAAATGTACAGTGCGAGTCAAAATTTGTAAGCAGCTACATTTTTGGATTTTAATAAAAATAATCTAAATTTATTTGGTTTGTAAGCAGTCTATGAAAATAATTACGATTTTACAAGACAACACTATTAACGTAAATGAATGTTTTTCACTTTGTTTTGTANACTTTTTCATAAGATTTCATTTTACAGGAACATTAGAAGAACTCCGGATACCATTAAATTATGAAATTATGGAGCATTGGTTGTATTAGTCCTCATTTGCCCTGTAAAGTAGCTGTGCCCATGGTTGTAAAGAAAGCATGAAAGTGCCTTTTATTCATTGGGAGCGAAGACAGTGTGCTGAAAAAAGGATTTATGATGATGAACTGGTATGTAATAGTATCAGTTAAAAATAGTAATAAAATATCTTTAGATAACTTCAGTTTCTTAGACATTTGTAACTTGCTTCAATAGACAACTTTTAAACAACGTTTCAGCAATGGCAGAAGCAGAATTTAACGTGGAACAGATCTTTCCATTAGTGTGCATGTTACTGATTTATACTGATTTATTCGATTTAAAAATGGTAATTAATTACTTTTTCTTGCCTGTTTCTATATAGATTGTTGTCCCATAAATAAGAAGGAATTGCAGTTAATTTTGGTGCTACTAAAACAACCGATGCTTTTGACGTCTTCACCTTGCAACATTATGCAGTTAATTTTTGCCGTAACAATGGGAGGCAATTGGAAATTAATTAATTTGGAAGCAACCGGAAAAACAAATTATCTGCAGTGGTATCCCTCCTAGATTTGGTTGGCTTGCTCATCACACTGATAGACTTTAGAACGCCACTTTCTACAATTAATTAAGGTGAGAATACTTGATATAATTAATTTTAATTGCTCTTTATTAATTTGTTTTGGTGTTTATTTTAATATCTACTGTTCATAGCACAAATTAAGGTTATCGTGCATCTATGGTAATTCATTCGGCAGTTATCTATTGTCCTTACTAAATTGACATTGTGAATCTATGATTGTTTCATATTTATCTATGCTATGAGGTAAATTGACAGTTGTCACCATCTTATAATTCTGTCATTTTATTTGCGTTTTGGTGCATGTTTTGTTGTATTTCGTATGTTATTTATGTGACAGTGTAATTAATTAGTACTTTCTTTTAGGTGTTTAATGCCTTCCGTACTTAATAGTGTAATTAATACGTTGTTTTGTTCATTTCTGCAGATTGTTCAACAAATGGGAAAGAATTAAAGTTCAGTTTGGTCCTACTGAAACAACCAATGTCTACATGGGCATGATCTTTCCTGGATTGTTCTTTTGATTAGCTGTTTACATCTTTGCCTTGCAACATTATGAAGTTAATTTTCTGCGATGGTATTCCTGCCGTATTTGTTTTGATTTTTACACCTGTAAACTTTGGAACGTTACGTTCTACAATTAATTAAGGTGAGAAACTATGACTTAATACGTCGCCATTTTTAATGTTTTGTTATTTTATTCGTTTTTGACTGGTTTTTTATTACGTGTTTTTGTTTTATTTCATGTTTCATTTATTTAAAACGAGTGTTTAATTCTTTTTTTTTATCCATTTTCTGCATGTATTTTGACTTTCATTTGAGAGAAAGGAAGAAAAGTGAAAAGGATTAAATATTTAAATTTTCTGCGTAACAGATATCTATTAAATTAATTAGTTAATAATTGTTTTTGTCCTATTACACAGATTAGTCAACAATTAAGAGAGATTTGAACTTATATCCTTTGCTTACTGAAAAGATAAGTCAAATCCTATGGTGTTTTAGCTGTTAACCTTTCATCTGGAAGGTTCTTGTAGTTAATTAAGGTGAGCATGCATATTGTATTTTCTATATTTAGTGTATTTATTTGATATTAACAAAGAAAAAGATTCAGCATCACTTTAACAATGTATCGTGCAGATTATTTACTTAATACTTAATTAATTATATCTGAACACTTTTCATTTTACAGGAACATCATAAGAACTCCGGATACCATTAAATTATGAAATTATCAAGCATTGGTTGTATTAGTAATTATTTGACCCAGAAAGTAGCTATGCCCATGGTTCTAAAGAAAGCATGAAAGTGCCTTTTTTTTATTGGGAATGAAGACAGTGTGCTAAAAAGGATTTATGACAATGAACTGGTATGTAACAGTGTCAGTTAAAAATAGTAAATATCTTTGGATAACTTCAATTTCTTAGACATTTGTAATTTGCTTCAATAGACAATTTTTAAACGTTTCAGAAATGGCAGAAGCAGAGTTAATGTGGAACAGTTCTTTCCATTAGTGTGCATGTTACTGATTTATACTGATTTATTCGATTTAAAAATGGTAATTAATTACTTTTTCTTGCCTGTTTCTATATAGATTGTTGTCCCATAAATAAGAAGGAATTGCAGTTAATTTTGGTGCTACTAAAACAACCGATGCTTTTGACGTCTTCACCTTGCAACATTATGCAGTTAATTTTTGCCGTAACAATGGGAGGCAATTGGAAATTAATTAATTTGGATGCAACCAGAACAACAAATTATCTGCAGTGGTATCCCTCCTAGATTTGGTTGGTTTGCTCATCACACTGGTAGACTTTAGAACGCCACTTTCTACAATTAATTGAGGTGAGAATACATGACTTGATCAATATTAATTACTCTTTATTAATCTGTTATGAAATTTCTGTTAACAATTAGCTATTGTCAACAGTATAAATTGAGGTTATTGTGCATC